AAATATGTACATATACAATTATTTATATGTGTATATATTTTAATTCTGTTAAAAACAGATTTTCAAGTTATTTTCTTTTTCAGGAAGAAACAGAGCAGCTGCAGTACACTTCCACATTGAAAAATCAAAATGTTTTTATTCTCGTTTAAAAAAAAAATATGAAAAATTTGTAAACATTGATAAATGAAAACAAGAGATTTTCCTTCATTTTATTTCTTCTATTTCACTTGGACTCTTTCTAATTTTTTTTTCTCCTGACCATTTTTAAAATCTTTGTCTATGTTTATTCTATATTTATTTCTCTTTATTTCCTTCCTGTTTGGTTTTCCTCTCTCATTTTCCTTCTTGAAATACTTTTTTCTATCTCCTATCTTCTATTCATCTTTTTTCTTCTTCTTGTTTCTAGCAATTCTCTATTCTTTCAATCCCAGTGTTTTTTTTCTTTGAAACTCTCTCTTTAAGATTGACAAAATACAATAAGGCACAATATCAAAATACACCTGCTGTGAAGATCTACAATAATCTAACAATTTCTAAACTTCAGCTATTAGATAACAATGACAGATAAGCTCTTATCAACAGTATATAACAAAATTATATCATTTTCAATACTGTAAACATAAGAGTTGTGCTGTATAACTTGTTCTTTCAGATAAAACTTCACATTTCTCAGCCAGCTACTCTAACCATTGAATTATATGTTCATATTAAAAAATAAAAACCTCAGTAAAAGTAGACAGATGATTTTAAAAAATACCACAGATCACTTTTATCCCAAAGCAAATAATATATATATTTTTTTACTAAAAAATAGTAAAGTTGAGTTTATGTTATGCATGGTACCAAACTCATTCAGAAATATCTAAATTTTCAGCTGTATATAACTGCAGTCACAGATTAAAAATGGTTTAAGTCAATGAAGTATTTATTTCTTAGTATAGCCCATTCTTTTTCAAAACTTATATACAGGCACTACAAAATCACAAACAAAGAGCTGTACTAAATAAAAGAAACTAAACACTTGAAGACTTTCAACAGCGGCAACAACAAAATGGATATCACACGTAACTCAAAAAAGAAAATAATGACATAATCAACATGCTGAAATTCCACATGGCTCCAAATAAAAGGAAGGAGGAAAGCTCTTATTGATGCTGAAAATAGAAAAAGAATTAGTATAACCCTATTTTCCTTAAAAATTATTTTTTATACAAAGAGTTTCAAGTGGCAGTAAAACTGGCTGCTCTTTCAATACTGAATAAGTAAACAGCTAATACTAACAATTACCAAAGATAAGCTGTTTTTAAATATCTAACAACAAAAACATACAGAGGACTTAAAAAGGGAAAGGATGTAATGTCTGCAAATTCTAGAACCTGTTGACAAATCTCCACAATGCAATATAGCTAAGAAACAAACAAAACTAGACAGCAGATAAAATTTCACAAGGAAACAGAGAGAAACCAAATTATTGTAAAGAAGAAAAAATACAATGAAAATGAAGATGTAAGAGTCTTAAGTTGTCCAAAATTTTAAGCTAAATCCATATCATTATTACTTTTTCATTTTTTACTAGTTTTTCTTTCATCTTATTTCTGTTACTTCTTATCACAATGTTCACGTCATTTTACATTCTACAACCATTATGTAAACAACAGAGATTAGAAAATAACCTCTGAAAAAATTTTAAGCTGCTTAAGAGCAAGCCTAACATATTCAACTTCTTTTTTTCACTCTAGTTCACCCAATACAAGTCCCAAGGACCACTCAAGGTAGATGGCTACTGAGTGAGATTGTTAGGAAGAAGTAAGAAGCACAGTTATGTAGGATAAATATTAGTTGACCCTGGATTTGAAGAAGTTAAGATTCTAGTGGTCAGGGAAGCATCTCTCAGGAGTCTGCTCCACAAAGTAACAGTTCTGGGGAAGAACTGTATGAGTGGAACTTACTCCCTGACAATATAATAGGAAAGGAATAACGACGATTTGCCGCCATGAACATGGTGTGGTAGGTCCTAACAGGAAGGTCTGAGCTGGTGGGATTGAGGAATGCAATTGAAATAATGATAGAGTACTAGCATTGTTTTTGTTTGTGGGATAAGTGTTGCAGGGTGGAGAAGAGTTTATCACTGCTTTTGAACTCTGTTAAGGCTGGACAGTGAGAACTGGGCAACACTAGCCCAGATATGGCAACAATACCTCAAAATTGGTCAGATCTGACTTTTTTAATGACAGGGAATAGCAGCAGGAGTTAGGTATTTTCTGAAATGATACAAAGAACTGACCATTGTTCCAGCATCTTTAGTGATGGCCTAAATATGCGTTCCATTGACGGTTTGGAGTGAGCTTCAGGCAAGGATACTCATTGAGGGTATGACCGTGCATAAGGATTTAGGGTCTGCTTGCTGATGATGAAACATTCTGAGAGGCCCATGAGCAGCCCAAACCTCAGAGTTACTTGTGCAGTTATATTTTTTTTGATTTGATTTTTACTCCACATTATATTGTTTGTTTACACCTGTAGTAGTAATTGTAGAAATAATAGATTTTTAAGTTGCTTAATGTTTTGGGTTAAACGTTGTCAGTAATAATTTCAAACTATCATAATATACTTGTGTATAAGCCTATTTCATGTGTAGTGCAATCCCTGGTTAAACAAAACAAAGCAATTAAGAGAAGCAAATTTCAATTAAAAAGTTACAAATATACATAACCTTATTCTACTTACATATGTGGCTGTGTAATTATTTTTGATATTTCAGTCCTGCCAGTAAGTAAATTTTCATTTAAAAAATAATAAAAAATTCTATGAGAAGCTATAATTCATGGTACTAAAGAAGAAAAAAATAAGATTTTATGTAAAATGTTTTGTTTTACAATTTTGATTATGCTCATAGACAAAACAAGCTTTCTATTCTTGCCTTATATCTGATGTTAATGATCTTAGCCAAAAACAGGATTTCAGTTCTTGCTTTCTATCTAATGTTAAAGATCTTAGCCAAAACAAGTTTTCAATTCTTGTCTACTATCTAATGTTAATTATTTTAGCCAAAACAAGGTTTCAACCGTTGCTTTCTATCTGATGTTACTGATCTTAGCCAAAAACAGGATTTTGATTCTTGCCTTCTATCTGATGTTAATGATCTTAACGAAAACAATGTTTCAGTTCCTAACTTCTATCTAATGTTAATGACCTTTACTAAAACAGGGTTTCAATTCTTACACTGAATCTAATGTCAATGACCTTAATCAAAATTGGGTTTCAATTCTTCTTCTTGCATCTGATGCTAATGATCTTAACCAAAATATGTTATTCATATCATCAATGAATTTTCTGTTACTAATATTTACAATCTTTCTTATTCAATTCTGTTTTTTCCACTGCTGTCAAAGAGGCAGGCGAAACTTAGTTTTCTCTCTGTACATTTGGAAGCTGATCATGATAACTGACTCTCCACACTATCAAAGCTAGAAAAATAAAACAGACCACTGAAAGGGACAATTACTAACTATAACTATTGTGGGGGAAAAAAATAAATAAAAAAAAGTAGTTAAGACAGCAGGAAACCTGCATCAAAGTTCACAAATGATATCATTCATAAAGAAGATAGGCAAGAGTAGATACTTAGATGCAATGTCAAGAAGAGCAAAATGTCAATCTGATGAAGCCATTTGCTTTGGAGCAAAGAAAAGAACATAAAACCTGAGAATGTTAATCTAAAGGAAATAATGTATAATAATAACATTAGCTTATTTAGCAAAAAGAAAATGTATTGAGAAAGTACTTGAAGATTACTCAAAACAGATCCTTTAAAAATATTAAGAAAAGCATTCAAGATAAGAAAAAGAAAGGTAATAGCAGAGCCTTGTCCTAAAAACTAAAGGGAAATACTTATGCCCCAACTTAAGATAATCTGAGAGAAATAAAAGAGCTGACAAGAAAAATAAAAGACAATGTTAATTCATAGATTCAGATGATTGCTAATGATTCTTAATCTAAAAATTATAGAGAAGAAAGGAACGACATGTTTGGTGCATAAAATAGAGAAGGAATAAGTATAAATGCTAGTATGAATTGATGTACCACGGGACAACAACTAAAATGGATAGCACATGTAACTCAAAGAGAAAATAATGACATAATGAAGATGTTAACATTCCACACCACTTCCAATAAAAGGTTAGAAAGGAAACTCCCATCAATAATGGAAAGAATGATTAGATCTACTTGACTTTAGAAACAAGCTATTTTTCCTGAAAAATTAAGAGAAAGATTTTATAAATTTCAATCTAAGATCAATGGTGAAAAAAAAGCTTTGAGCAAATAAAACCTGAGAGTATTGGCAAAGATCATCCTTCTTTGACTGGTGCTACAGAATCACAAAGACCTATACCAAATAAAAGAAACCACATCATTTTAGGACTACCAACAATAGCAACTACTAAAATGGAGAGCACATGTAACTTGAAAAGAAAATAATGACATAATGAACATGTTAACATTCTACACCACTTCAAATAAAAGTTTAGGAAGGAAATGCCCATTATTCCTGAAAAGAGTGATAAAAGCTACTGGGCTTGAGAAAAACGTCTTCCTAAGACATTATTTTAATTGAAGGATTTCAACCTAAAACAGTACTGGCTGTTCGGTCAGTGAATTTCAAATGTCTTTATTGAGAAACAGTTAATAGAGTTAGACAGTCGAAAATAAATAAATCAATATATCAATTAAGCATCTATATCAGTCAATCAGAAAGTAAGAATTGAAGAATAAAAGATTAAAAGAATAAGCTCAGAAATTTATTCTGGTTCTTTGATAAAAGACACAAAACAAAGCACTATCAGCATGCATGTGTATCTATGCCAGAGAAAGATTGTGCATATATATGTGTATGTGGCAGAGGAAGTGATTCCCTGATCATGCTTCAAGTTGTGGTCAAGTGATTGTCTGCAAAATGGTGAATGGAATCTCTGGGACTCTTACCATTTTGTTGATAGGAATCAGTAGAGCAGCAAAAGGATTGATAAGGAGTTAAGAAGAAAAGTTACATTTGTAGCAGATGAAGTGTCTTTTACTTTTGAAAAGAAGAGGATAGGAGGAGCAGGAGGTAGGTAATTGTTTTTTTGTTGTGGGTGGGGGCTGAGAAATAAAGAGAACAGAAGGTTGGAATGAGGTATGGGGATAGTTGGTTTCAACCAACAGAGAACTAGATTACAGATGAGCCTGATTGGAATGGACACTAATGGAATGAGATGAGGAAACAGATGGTTGATCACTGGAGAGGTAAACAGTAAGCACAGAAGTACAAAAAAGGAGAGAGAGAGAGAGATACTGAAATAAAAAATACAGAGAATGAAAATGACGGTAAGGGATGGAGACAGCCAAAAGAAAAAACATAGACAAGTGAAGGAAAAGGAAGATGAAACTAGGATAAAAAAGGAAGAAAAATTCAAACAAACTGAGTGGAATACAGTAGCAAAGAAAAAAAAGGATTAGAAAGCAAAAAAGATGGACAATGCAAAAAAAAAGAGAGATAAAGGAAGAAAATTAAACTGAAAAGAAAAGAGAACAAAGCAAAGTAAGAGTAATAGAGTAGCAAAGAGAAAAACAGAAAGGAATGGAGAGAGACAGACAAAAATAAAGAGGGATAGAAAATGAGAAGGAAGTTGAAATGGGAGAAAAATCAAAAAAGAGAATTTGAAAAAGTCTTAAAGGTGAAGGGAATAAAAATAATTTTTTTTTTTTTTTGTTTTTCTTTTTTTACAGTAAGGTTCACCCTTTACAAGACCTGTGGGGGTGGCACTCGAGGTAGAATGTTACGTTAGGAGACAATTTGTGTGGATAGAAGTGGAAATAACCCTAGCCTTGAACAGGTTAAGATTGTAGTGATCAGGGAAACATCCTAATTGGATTTGGTTCCACAGAGCAGTGGTTTGCAGGAAGAAGCTGTTAGAGTGGAAACTACTTCTTACGAGTGGAATAAAAAGATTAAAATGAAGAGAAAGAGAGAACATGATCAAGAAGAAAAAAAGAAAGGCTACATAAACAAAATTATGCATTATAAAGGGGGAAAAGAAACCCAGAAAAAATAGATGATTTGATGGTAGTGGTAAGGCTTAAAACTAGTTACCTGAATGAAATTGTCCAGAGAGGAAAAAGCCCAGTAACTTAAGCTCTTTAGACTAAGATATTCTTTATAATAATGAGAAATGATGTAGTTGTCTACTGCATGATTGTTGTGTTGATGAGATTATCAGAAGCAAAGCTGAGTAACAGTGAAATGAAAAGAAAATGGAAATAATGGTTGAAGAAAATCTGACCCATTTGAATCATAAAATTCATCTTTGCTTTTTTCCTTTCATTACCTTTTTCTTGTTTCTATTCCAATTGTTATCCATATTTCTTTCCTGATTCTTATTTAATGGTTTCAGTAATCACTGTGTGAATCAAATTCACTTCACAAGTAAATGTTCATTTATTTCTCCCATATTTTTCCAACTCAAGAGAAATAACCAAATTTGTCTTCATTTGTTATTCTTCAATGTTTTCACGATTATTATTCATTCACTACCTTTACTCTCAATTATTAGTGTTGGTTTTATCACAAATAATAGCAGTTTCAAGTTACTTTTGAAGATTATGAGATGAAGTATTTTAACTGTTATTTTGTTATTAATGTTATACCCTTACTAATTTTTGTTTGTAAGTGTTCACTATAATTTTAAGCATTTTCATTATAATTATTCAATTGCATGTTTTTCTCCATCATACTATTCTTGTTTTTATCAATAAAATCTTCATTAATACTGTTATCATTATCATCTTATTGGCAAAGTTTCATGCTCACAAAAAGATGGTGTGTCAAAAAGATGGTTTTTCCTTTGACACTGCTATTATTTTGTACTAACTTCATTCCCTCAGCAATGTTTATTCACAATATTATAACAGTAAGTGAACCAAGTACAATGCGATATTTATTATTTATCATTTTATAAAGACATAAATGTAAAAAAGAAATCTTTTTATTCAAAATTCTTATAAATTACAAAATTATCAAAATATGTAAACCATCTACAATGCAATATTTATTATTTATCATTTTATACATAAACATGAAAACAAGTTTTTTTTTTATTCATAATTTTATAAAAATATCAATGAATTGCTGGATGAAAGAAATACCTGGAAAATCCATTTTTTCAAAATTTATAATTAGTTATTGTCGTTATCTGTTTATTTAAATTTTCTTGTTCACAGATATTTTTTTATAAATTTATGAACAAAAAATTATTTTCATATTTATTTCTTTATAAATTGATAAATGATAAACATTGCATCGTATTAGTCAGTTTGCATTCTTAGAATGTTGTTTCTCACAAAACAAAGAAAATATATAAATTCACTTTCATATGTTTGGGTTTTATTAAAATTCTAATCATTGCTTTTTAAAACAACAAAAATTGTCGAGTGAGTGATGGCAGTTAAAATAACAGCAGTGTCAAGAGAAAAACTGTTCTTTTGACATATTTATTACAAAACTCGAAGCCAGTGTACTCTATGATTACTATAATAACTAGTTTTACTCCATCTTATTGCTGTTTTTCATCTGGATTGATCCAATGAAAGTAAATAGCATGAAATTGGAAATAATAAAATAGCTTCTGATGAGATTAGAACTCATATTCTATATGTTTGGAACTCATCTTTTATAGACATTACCTTAACAATGCTGAAGCTTTAATGGAGTATAAATCTGGCGCCATTTTGCTACCTTTTCTTTTCTGATTCTTGACTCCATCTTTGTTATGCTACCAGGCAATAGTATTATGTTATATTTTGAAATGTTCAATTGAGTAAAGCTTGTAAGAAAATAATGTCTTTACATTTGCAGATATGCCTTCCTTTTTTTTTATTTTCTATCCGTCAATACTTCACAGCACTTTTTCAAGTCAAAAGGTCTTTTCAGAAAATCAACCATTTTAGTCAGATAACAATAAAAAATATGTCCTTTACAGCCTAAAAAGTTTTCATACCATAATTAAGAATAATTATATAGTGATAATCAAATTGCAAAAAAAAGAAATGTAAAACTGAAAAAATTATATACATAATTCTGTCAGTTATGATTACTGAAATGTCCAATTTTTTTTTCAATTTAAGTAAAAATATTTTTTTTTATTATTACCATTAAATTTATTGAAAACGTTATTGTTCCACAATTGTCTATTATCTTCAGGCAAACTCAATTTTATCCTCCCAGTATTTTTTATCTTTCACAGGAAAGAATAGCACTTGGCACTATTTGAAGACATCAAGAAAATGGAAATTTTCCATGATGAGAATTCTGTAAATACCAGAATAAAAAAGTAATCCAAGGATGAAATATAGTGGATAGCAAAGATAATGGTGAAATTAACCATTTCCATACAGGATAAATTCAATATTCATTGACGAAACAGCATTACTGTTGGTTGAAAATTATAAAATCTTTCTCTTAAGAAAGTTTTTCAGGAAAATTTACTTCTCAAATCCAGTAAATATTATCATTATTTCTAGTACTGATGGGAGTTTCTTTCCTAACCTTTTGCTCAAGGTAGTGTGCAATGTCAACATCATTATGATGAGGTAACATTTTCCAGCCAAGTTGTAACAATTTTTGATTAATTTCTTTTCTATGGCTTATCAACCATTTGCAGGTTATTTAAAACCAGAAAATATATTTAGATTGGAAGAATTTTATTTTTTTGTTTGTGTATGTGTGTAGGAGGGTTGAGATAATAATGATTTACTGATACAAGCCTTACTAATTAACACATAGATGGGGGGAAAAAGAGGTGAAGTCATACCTTTCCCAAGCGTATTTGGGCATAAGTGAATATAACAAAACCACTGGGAATTGGAATTCGGCTCACCAATTAACAATTCAAAGCCATTATCAATTACAGCACCTGGCATTCCAAAGCAGTCACCCATCTAGGTACTGACCAGGCTCAGTGTTGCTTAACTTTAGTGATCATAGTGATTTTTATGCAGGGAACTAGTGTTTCAATGTGATGTTGCTGTAAGCCCTAACAATTTTTGTTTGATTAATAAAAAACATGAAATCTAGTGTTACCCTCATACATTATTAACTTTCTGTTAACTAGATCTGAATACCTCTTTATTGACAGGATGGTTTCAGTTGGTTCAACTGAGAGAAGCATTTATTCAAATCAGTTGTCAAGCTCTCTAGAAAATCACATCACATACAGAGCACCAGCTTTTTTAGATCTAATGCCAAAAACAAAATATTATTTAAAAAGAGGAAAATATAACACAGGAATCTTTAAAAATCTAGCTATATATATATATATATATATATATATATATATATATATATATATATATATATATATATATATATATAGTTAATCTAATTATATATATATATATAGTTAATCTAATTATATATATATATATATATATATATATATATATATATATATAGTTAATCTAATTATATATATATATATATATATATAGTTAATCTAATTATATATATATATATATATATATATATATATATATATATATATATAATGAAAGTGACAAAGTCCGACAATTATTTTAAGACATTTTTATCTATAAAAAGAATGTATAAACATAAAAAATGTCAGGACTTCACTGGGCTAAATTTGTTATCTTGGTAGGACTACACATGCGTATAACAGAAGGGTACTGAGAATTTTAGAATTTTTTTTTTTATCTAGTTGAATTTTATTTAGAGTCTTTTTCTTTTTCTTTCCAGCAATTTTGTAAGTATTTATTCCACACTGTGATATTAGAAGATCTGCCAGGAATGATGAAATGTTGTAAGAGCCTTAATCACAAGGTCATCTACAGTAAATTTGTGCCTTGGCTCTTCCAACATTTTGCCATTTCTTCTTCAAGTGGATCCTGGGCCTTGTACAGAGTAAACATCATTGTCAAAAAAAAAAAAAAAAATAGATCTCCTTGAGAACTGAGAAATTTTCAGAAATAAGACAAGAATCTTTAAACCATTTTTATTTGTGTTTTAAAGCTGCAACAAAGTATTCTTTCATGGACATTATCACAAATGTTATCCTCAACATTGTCATCATATCAACGGAATGCCTCCTTTTCTTTTTTATGATAAAGTCTTTGAAGAAATAGTAAACTCTAAAAAGGTAGTTAGTGGCTTTAATGATAACACACCAGGCAAAGAACTTGTTCAAAAGCTGTCAAAATAAGCTTTATTTTTCATCCATACACCGTTACAAAACAACAACATGTCATGTACAAATCAAGGAAAATAAGGCCTTCATGTTATTTTTTTTTTTATTTTGGTTGTTTTCTTTCACAGATATCCAATTAAACATTTTCTTTTGTTTTCTACAAGTTCTCATTTTTTTAACCACTGAGAATTGGCAGACAAGATATCTTATGAAAACCATCTTTGTCTCAGAGTAGCTGACAAGATATTTCATCAATATGACATCATAGATTACAAGGTCCTATTAACAAAATAAGCTGTACAAGAGCAGTTGATTTTTCTCACCATCATAGCGAAAGTTACTTGCACTTATTTTTACAATGTGGCAAGAATTATGCTAACTGTTGAGACAACATCTAGTAAACAACATCAACAATTCTTTTCTTCCTACTTTGCTTGTACAATGGAGAAGGCATAAATTTGCTCAGTTAAATTTTAGATTAAAAATTACCAAAATTGTTGGTTAAATCATTAAATTCTATCTTTTAAGTGTTACTGTTCATAGTTCTTGTTGTGACCAAGTAATTAGTTAAGAAATAACGAAACAAGAGGTTGCAGATAAATAGTGTATTGAACAGTAAATACAACAGAAGTGTGTTACACGACTTAGGAGTGTGTGTCAGTTGACCAGCATTCAGTCTATATCACTGTTCCCGCGAGGCTTACTTTTCCTACTACTTTATAGTAAGTGTAAGAGTCTGTAATAGTCTCATTAGAGGGACGACACTACAACATTTCTGTGAATATCCCTCTTCTTGCATTAGTACATATACTCTTAAAATGTGG